CATTTTCCAACACAGACTTTAGTTCATCGTACAGGTCTTAGCCGGTTGTAGTCCCTTGCATTGGAATCAGTGAACATAATTCTTCGGTAATATTAAATTTGGTGTCAATACCACGTAGAAATATAGCCAGTTGTGCTGTATCGCAACTCTCATCAAGGGCCAAACTACAGTATTCGAATTTTGCAATGCGTTCACGAAGCGTTGTTGCTATGTTCTCGGACAAGTCTTCAATTCTCCTTGCAATGGTGAATCTTGATAAACTAATGTTTGAAATAATATTTATTTTATCAGGAAATGCTATTTCTGCAACAACAGTCAGACATTCTTTTATCATCTCTCCATCCGCAAAGGGTTTCATTTTTTTCGCCAGTATTTGACTGACAACAAAACTAGCCTTTACTGCCATATTTGATAAAATAGCTTGATTTTTAAAAATAGCCTGTTGGTGTCCCATTTTTTTGTCCATTTGATTAAACTTATCTATCCGGAGTTGTCCTGTTAAGTTTTTATATTGTTGTTCATGTTTTGTATCGTAATGCCTTTTTATGTTGCATACAGCTTTATCTTTGACGAAAGTGAAAAAATAATCAAATTTCCACTTTTCTTGGATATGCCTGTGCTCATCCACAACCTTCCGTTCTTTTGTTTGCTTTTTCGACATGCTATTATGCACTAATATTGCACTCACGCCTTTCAAGAAACACAAGAATTGCTAGTTAACAGCTTGCCAGTCTGACTGATTGTGTGAAAGAAGCAGACACAGAACAAGCACAGACGCGGCGCCGATCAACAAGTCGCCGACAAATGATCGTCACAAAAAATTGTTTCGGTTTAGTATGTACTACCATTATATTATAATTAATTTTATAACAATACGATGGGAGAAAGTCGGTAAAATAAATTCAATTTTAGAAATGCTTGGCGGGCCGCATAAACATGTTTAACGGGCCGCAAGTTGCCCGCGGGCCGAGTGTTGCTCATCCCTGATCTTGATCATTTGTCAAACTTGGCTTTTTAACTTCTACGCAACTGTTAAGGTGCATAGAAAGAAATTTATTGCGAATAATTGGAGAGGTCATCTATAAATTCAGAAGATAAAGAAATAATGATCATTTTTAACTTTTAAACGTTATTGAATTTTTTTTTATATTCAAACTTTATTAATTTTTATTCATGTATTTATTTGAATTTATTTATTTTTGTGCATCATAGTTCGCAATATCTCATCACTTGTGTTAAATTAGAAAGTTTATTTTATGATTTTTTTTTTATAAACATAAGAATAATAAAAATGTGTTATTTTCCTATGAAATTTACTTATAAAATCATCAATTTTTGTATTATTTTTAACTTACATACTTACAACGATAAATTCTATTCAATTTCTAAAGTAGTATGATAGTTATATTCAAGGTTTAAATTCCGACATTAATAAATAAAGAGTAACCTAGGTTTCGATAGAAGACTGGATGTTGGCGTCAATTTGTTTAGGCCCTAGGCATTATGTGGAATTCTAAATGACAGGCCGGATAAGTACGAAATATGATTATTTTATACTTGTAATTAATTAGTACATATGGTTAGAGCCCATGATGGCTCAGGGGATAGAACATCCGCTTCCCAATGAGGTGACACAGGGTCGAATCCCAGAATGGCTGTTTGCTATGAATTCTGCAATCCGCTCGCACCGACCACAGTGATGATAGGAAAATATCCCGTGAATCAGTGGTTTGAGTTCCCTTACTGTCAGACTAACCGTGGAAGGTTTTCCTGTCCATGTAATGCAAATGCATGTTAGCTCCATCAAAAAGTCCTCAGCGAAGGCTAGTTTCTCCCAATGCTCGATCCAGGAGTTCACTTGTCTTCTGGGTATTTGTTCAAAATTACAAGGCCACGGTTTCGAACATTGGTAGTCATAAACTTAGAATGGGTGGGCTGTTCATTGCTGATTATAAAATGTAAAATAAAATTAGTATGGTAATTAGTTAAAAATTATTTTCTTTGTATAACGAGTTGCATCATATTTATTAAAAAAAATCAAACATAAATTTTGTTTTGTACAACCTTCAATTTTTTTCTTATTTTGAAGAAAAAAATTCTAATGGCAGTCGTTTATTAGATGTTTAAAATTAAAATAACATTTGCATTTTTCAGGAAAGAACATCTTATAAATATTATTATCATAACCTTATTTTCATATATTTCTATTAATATACACTGGTTATCATAAATTAAGGAAAATTCACAAAAATCGCGATAACTCAAGAAATTACACATGGAATTTTATGAAACTTACCCACAATATACAACACATAGTAAGGTATTAAACAACATAAAAAGAAATTATCAGACATTAATAGTAGTATAGAAATTAGCACATGTATAAAATAAACAAATTGGAAGTATCGGTTTGCAATAGAAAAAGTACCTTTAATATGGAATATGATTGCCTCTAGAAGCAATACAGCACAAACAGCGATGTGTGATGCTTTCAATTATGCGGTCTATCAGTTCAATAGGAAGTGAGAGCCATTGCTCTTGTAAAGCAGTTGCAAGCGTGGCAAGGGTCTGAGGGGGCGGATTGATGGCAGATACACGCCTCCCTAGAGCATCCCAAACGTGCTCGATAGGATTCAAGTCCGGGGATCGAGCTGGCCACTCCATGCGAGTAATTGTTTCCTGTTGAAGATAATCATCAACAATGCGAGCTCTGTGTGGTCTTGCATTATCGTCCTGTAACAGGAAGCAATCACCAATTGCCCCGGCATATGGGCGCACATAAGCATCAAGGATGTTGTCTCGATAAACCTGAGCATTCACGGTTCCCCTTGGAAAGACATGGAGGTATGTGCGCCCTCCTAAGGATATGCCTCCCCAAACACAGACACTGCCTCTTCCGTATGCATCTCTTTCACGGATGTTTGATGGATGATAACGGGTCCCAGGTTCTCTCCATATCAAATAACGTCTACTGTCACTTTCTAGACTAAACCTGGACTCATCCGTAAAGAGAACAGGCCTCCATTGATCTGACGTCCAGTGGACATGTTGTCGGGCCCACTGCAAACGGTCTCTCCTATGGCGTGATGTGAGCGGCACGCAAATGGCTGGTCGTCTCGCATACAGACCACCTTCGTGGAGCCTTCTGCGCACAGTTGACGTTGACACCAACCTTCCGGTGGCTGCAGCAAGAGAGGATCTAAGATGTGTCGGAGTAGCGGTTCTATTCCTGCGTGCACTTAATGTCAAATATCGGTCATCGGCACTGGTCGTAACAGTTGGCCGTCCTTGACTGAACCTCCTAGATGCCGAATCTGTGGTTTGAAATTGCCTCCAAAGTCTATGAACCACAGATGGACTCACATTTAGCCATCTGGCCACTTCTGATTGACTCTGCCCTGCCTCTAGTCTCCCGATGGCTCTCCATCGTAGTTCTTCAGGCAAATGATGCCTAGAGGTCATTATTACGAATTGGCTATCTCAGATTTTCAATGTCGCAATCACAGTAAAATTTGTGTGCTTTCTCTCAAACTTGGACTTTTATGCTCCAGGCAGATGACGTAAGCCGAGTGCAGCGCCACTAATTTGCATATTGCAATTTTACTCAGCTACTCTTAGTGGACAACATATGCAAATTTTGCACGGTTTGGCTTACTTTTGAAAGAGTTATCGCTATTTTTGTGATTTTTCCTTAATTTATGATAACCAGTGTACATAATACATAACTGTAAGATGTCTAAATTTCGGCTTATTTAAATATAATGAACTCAAAGTGCAAAATTTATTAGTAAAAAGAGTATAATTTTTAAAATTAATTAAAAAAAATTCAGTTATATTGAATCACATTAATTAGAACAATTAATAATAATCTCTTAATATATATCCCTTTAAAAATATATATTTCTTAAAAGAATAGATTTAAAGAACTTACTTCAACCTAATGCATCACATATTTTTCACAAATATTTTATAACAATTTATTGAGAATTTTAGCAGACGACATTTTTTTATCATTAAAATTATAGCAATTATTGTTTTTATATTTTTAATAATCAAAATAAAACTATTAATAATTATATTTATTTCTTGGTTTGTTCTGATAAGATTTATATGAAGGAACTCATTAAATAATCCCTAACTTTTGGAAACAAAACTAAAAAAAATGTTCCATGGTTGTTTAAAAAAAAAGAAAAAAATCTTATAACTTACAGCAGAAAGTGCCTTTTCTCCAAATGTCTTTCATCTTCTAGCAACCATATTTATTAATTTTTTAAAATTTATTTCTACACTAATTTTTGCATTCTAAACAGATTTTTTTTTTGTGAAAAAAAAGTGACATCGTTAAGCAAAAAGAGTGCGATTTTGGACTAAAATTCTTCAATTCTGATGTGGTTACAGATATTATTTTAGCATATTTGTAGTTACCCATTTAAACCATTAAGAATGGGTGCCGTTTTTTTTTATTGTTTTTATTCTGATATTTTTTAATTGATACATAATTTGGCAGTTGTGTGCATTATTTTTCAGAATTGTTTCTTAGGATTATGAGGGAAAACTCAAAGAATTTTTCCCCCTTCAAATTAAGAATGAAACCTGAAACAGCTGTTAAGAAGAGAGTAGCACATTTAACGTCCTTGGGGGGGGGGGCAGGACTATGTCTCCAAAATTCCACCTCAATATTTCAGACTAATAAAGAAAATTTTCATGGATTGTCATTGATTTAAATTCACCCCCCCCCCGAAAAAAAAGGGAGCTTAAAAATATTTAATCTTTTCGCAGATACTTGACAGATAAAAAGACAATATTTCTTCTTATGTTTGAAATTTATAGAACTGGTATGACTGTGAATTTTAATTTCCTCCCCTTCTAAAATTGGTGATGCCCATGAAGTAACAAGTAGTCATTAATTTTTAGTGAGAAATCTACTCAATATTTTAAATCCATACTCAATCCATGTTATTTACATTCTTCAAACGTCTTTCATAATTTATCTCTTACAGATATAAAGGTGAATATGTCAGCAAAAAGAGGCCTTACCAGCATCCTGGACAGCGACGACCTCCCCATCTTCCTGATTTGTGTGAAAAATGCAAGTGGGGTGAAGAGAGATGCTGGGAGTACAAATATAGGTGTCAGTGATTTCTATTTATGTATTTATTTTTAAACAATTTCATCTTCAAACTGATATAAGCGGAAAAAATGGTTCACATATCTTTTTTTTAAAATATTCCTTAATGCAATAATATATATTAATAATTTTTTATTTGATGAGCATTCCATTTTCATGGTCATTATGAAGTCATTTGAATGTAAGATGTTAACAAGTTGTCTTTTTTTTGTATAATGAGATACATTATCCATATATATTTTAGCCATTTATATTATATTTGTATATACCACAATAATCCAAAACTTGAATAAAATTATTATTTAAATGTTAATTGTTTGCAAATGCTTTATTCTATGATCAATTTTCAAAACCTAAAATAAAATACATTGTTTTTGTTTAAGAGCTAAAAATTTAAAACAAAAGGAAACATTTTTAAAGTATCTGTGATGTGACCTTAAATTGAATCCTCATTTGAGCTAGAAGAATTTTCACAACCTTGAGCAATAGGGAAGAATAGTTTCAAAATTGAGGGAATAATACTAGAATAGAAAAAATTTAAAGCTTGCTTAAGCCTGGATAAAAATAAAGTTGATTTTGATTATGTGTTCTGAACTTATACTTCTGTTTTCCTCTATCCCACAATTATTTTATTAGCCAATAAAAAAAAATGTCTCGGCTGCTTTTTTTCCCCCTTCAGTTTTTCCAGAATATAGCAATAAGAAAAATCTAGGAACAATGCTTACTTTACTCAAATTATCAATTTTCAACTTATCAATTCAAATTTCAAATTATCAATTTCAACAATATTTAATCTTGCAAAAATAAGGTGTTATCTAAAATTAAAATTATGTGACACTTTTAATATGTTTCACTGCTCTAATAAATTTGACACATATAATTATTTTTAATAAAGTTCGGGGTCAACGAAAAACTGATTTCATTAGAAATAGCTTTTTGAGATCTATCACTGTTTACAGCTAAGTTTTCTATTTTCATTAAATTTAGAAAGATCTTTACACATTGTACCTCCTTGAAAAGAAATATATAACCTAGTTGTTTGATTGGGGTGTAATGCATGAATTAGAATTACCTGAAAAATCATAGATTAATAAGATGTTGAACCTATCACGCTACAACTTGAAAAATATTGCTTAGCTATTAATTAATAAGAAAACAAAATTGGTTTTAAAATAAATAAACAGCCAATAATTAAGACAAAAATATTTGGCCAACCTTGTGACTTAATAAAAAATATTTTATTCTAAGTAATTGTAAATTACAAATTACCAGTTAGTTGCATAATTTTTTATCAGAATGAAAAAACAATCCATGATTTCGAATTTATAAATAAAATAATTCTAATTATGAAACATTTCAAAATTTACTAAAAAATGTCAAATATTTAATTAAAATTTTCATAGTTCATGTACACACAAAACATAAAAAAAATATGACTAGCTCATAAAATATCGCTTTGAATTATTTAAGAAAGGAAAATCAAGTATGGTTATAATGTTATACATCATTCCACAGTATTTGAATTCAGATGTTATGCACATAAAAAAATATTGATGAATTAATATACATATAGAAATATATTATGAATTAAAATACATATCGAGATACATTATGAATTGAAATATGTAGACATACGTAAACAGTTAGAAAGTGGATTTGAAATGCTCTATACTAAACAAATATGGTGGAGTGATCTCTGACTATAATCTCAAACAATTGAACAAACTTTTACATAAGAAATTATAATGAAAAGATGTTTTAGTAATTTAAAATTATACATATCTTTAGCACAAAATTAATATTATCGTAAAACACTAGCAGCCATTGGTGATCAGCTTGGTTGCTTTAAAAAAACACACTCCTAACTGTGTGTTATGGTATTTTAATAATATCACAGTTCAATCATTAATAAAAATAAACTCCAAGAGAAACAACAAAAATGCTTAACTATAAATCCTAATACTGAGCAAATCACAAAAGATTGCAAAATGCTTAAAGGCACTAGTTAGAGCGAAAATGTGTGAATTCAATTGTTAAAAGAATCTTTCAAGATTCTGAAAGGTTCTAAAATTCTAATTAAATAAACTAAAAATAAGTAATTACTTGATATATTTTTTTTTGAAAAACAAAATTGAAATTTGGTAAAAAGAAACAAGACAAAAAGCATTAAATTAGAATATTTTTCAGTTATGTTTCAAATCAAATAAAAGAGAAAAGTTCCTTTGTGATTAAGATTAAATTTAAAAGTTTAAAGTTTAGTCAACAAAATATAACTATTGATGTTAAACCAAATCTGTTTGAAAAACTCTCTATAAAACTTAACAAATATTTTAAATCCATAAATGATTTTGGTGTTTTTAATATTAATATTATACATTCATTATATTATATTAATCTAAATATTACACAATCTGGTATTTTAAACTACCTACTTAATTTAATCAATGTGTTTTCTAAAGGGGAAAAAAACTAATTTTCTAGATTCACACAATTTTATTGCCTATAAAGACAAACACATACATTGATAATACTTATATTTTACTTCATAGCATTTTATATCATTTTAAAGAAAATTTTGCTTGAAAATTTAATAAATATATTCATTATTAATAATATTTTAAAATTGATTTCAGAATATCGATTCTCTGGATAAAGTCTGTACACCAGCATGGAAAAAAATCTACTTAAAAACTTTTAACATATTTTACTTTATAATTTTTTTCAAAAATAAATCAATCAATCTTTATTAAAATATTTATTATAGAGAGAGCCTTTTTAAAAGATTTTTATATAAAAATTAAAAACATAGGCGCAGCATCATTACAATAGGTTGGTACATTTCACAAGTTTTGATAGTCTCACTCATAAAAATTCAATAGATATAAACAAGAATTAGGGAAGTAGTAAGAAATTTTTCACAGTTTATATACATAAACCATCACATAAACAAAAAAAGAAAATTTCAAGGCTACTTTATTTTACCTATGACTCGAACAGTTCATTTAATTATGGTAAGCACTGCAACATCTATAAAAACCAACTTTTCTATGTTAATTTTTAAGATAATTTTTTCATTTCCAACTTGGTTTGCTATTTAAAAAACTGCTGATCGATGCACAAACCATAAACATGAAACAAATCCCCTCCACAGCCACAATTACATATGATGAATTTCTTATAATTTAAAAAAAAAACTATAATAAAAGAAACAATGAAGTGAACATTAATTTGCTATAGCTAGATGAGAAATTTTCAAATTCTTCTCTTATTAGATCAATTTTTTACACTTTCATCTCAGTTGATTAAAAGAAAAAAAATAATTATCTTGTTAAAAACATGTAAACATAATAGGATAAAATGATCATTAAAAAATTCAAATAGGACCATTAGATCAATAAAAAAAAATTTTTTTTTTTTTGCTATATAATGATGGTTAGACATGCACTAAATATAATATTAATTAAATACATAAATGTCTATTATTAAAACAAAACATCTCACTTTCATTGAAAAGGAACAACAACTTTGCCTATACTTTTTCCACTGTAAAGATGCTGAAAATAAATATATTTAAGATAGATATAATAGCAAATGAAGTCTAAACATTATTAATATTTATAAATATAAACTTGATAAAATATAAAAGAATAAAATACAAATAATTTCATATAATAATAAAAATAGATGCTTACATCAACAGCTCTAGATATATCTTCAAGACCATTGAACTGTTTTCCAGTCTGGCTACCATCATCAACGCGAAGGGTTAATTTTTGTTCATGCATTTGTCTGATTAATAAGTTCAAGTAATGAGGTATATCTTTTTTATAATATGGCAAGAAAAACCCATTTAAACTGGTTGAACGAAGCATTAGCTAGAAAGAAACATTAAAAAAAATCTTTTTAACAAATATAAATTAAAACTTTTTTAATCATCTTGCATTGTTTATAAATACATAGAATATATAATTTATTAAAGAAAAATCTATTGTATTTTTTAAAATATTTGGTTACTTTAGATATATTTTATAGCCACAGGTCAGTAGTAGCATTTTTAACAGAGGCTACTTTTTAAAACGTGGCATTTCTCGATGTTCATTATAAAGTTTATTTCTAAAATTAAAAAAAATTTTAAGAAGCAAAAGTGAAATAAAGTAATTTTTAGAATATTATAAAATATTTATAATAATTCCATATTTATTTAAAAAAAATACTAATAATAAAGTGCATATGGGATACATTTTGGACAATTGGCACATTGATTGAGAATTTTATAAGAGACATTTTGTTATGTTTAATTACTGGTGGCAACTGTTAATTTTGCCCTGTACTGCAAACTGATGATAAACTAGCATGGTTAGAAAATACCTCATACTTAATAAATAAGTTTTCTAAGTATTTAAACTTTGATGAAAAATTAAAGATAAGTTAATATTACAAAAGGAAGAGTATGAACAGTAATTTTAAAATTAAATATATATTTTTTAACTACTTTTAGTACTGTACAAAAGAAAGAAAATAGAAATGTATTTTTTATCACTGCTGATAGAAGATTCCTCTCACTTACTTTTTGATAAACATTTTGCGCTGCGCAAATTTCGCCCATTGCAAACATTTTATGAGGAAAATATACTATTTGTTTTCATACCTCATTCGTGAATTTCGCTTTAAAAGTATTAGAATATTTGTTCTTTTACAGGGGAGAGAAACTGTTCTAAATTATTGGCAACAGAGATAATCTGATTCTAGTTAATTGAAAGTCTATTGTATATGTGATGTAAAAAACTTTATTCATACACTGCATAAAAGCAACTAAATTTATATCACATTGCAGAAATTTCTAGAAAATCATACATTTACCATATTGTGTAAAGTAATTGGAAGAAGTTTTATTTATCATTAAATTTTACCTATTAAGGAATTTTTCATCTGATACTGGTTTTGACAGCATTTTTTACATCACACAGAGTTTTTTTTTTGCTTTAGTTGGGTTTAATCAGCTATAAGAATAGGAAGCTAGGGTATATATAGTAGATATAATATCAGACTATAAACATTATTTATAATTCTAAAAATAAACTAAAATAAAAAATTCATATAGCAATAATGCTAATCCCCCCCCAAAAAAAAATTAATGCTTGCAATGTAGAGAAAAATGCTTAAAATGGGCTGAACTACAAGACTGCAATAAAGTATTCAATGAAAAAACAAATTTTTTGTATAAAGGATTTCATTCAACATTAGTCAGATAAAAAGCTAGAGGAATTTAACATCTTGACCAAACAGTATCTTAAAAGAAGTTTTAGGCTTATTTTATGTGTAGAGGAACTGTCAATTTAGTACCAGAACAATGAAGTCAAAAATACTACTCTAATACAAAAAGTCAAAATTGTATCTTTCATGCAAATATTTGCTGATAGTATTTATGTGCATCAACAAGATTGCTCAATGCTCTACACCGTAATTTCCAAGAAGGTAATAAAACATTTTTTCAAGAAATGAAAATAATATTTAAGGATTGGTCTGAGAATTCTCCAGGCCTAAATCAAATAGAAAATTTGAGAAGAATTAAGAGACATATGAATAAAGTAGATAACTCTACCAAGTGAAATATGATAGATAAAGTAATAAACCTATGTTTCATGATGCATTTATATTCAAACAAGCATTTATATTCTTATTTAGTGGTATTCATGCTAAAATGTGTTCAGGATCTTATAAACGCTAGAAGAGAACATATTACTAACTAAATTGCAAGCAATAGACCTTTCATTAATTTAACTATGCATGTGAAATTTTTTGTGATTATAATTAATTTTCTCAGTACTGCAGCTACATGTATATTTTATTTATACCAAATTTGTAATTAATATAATTTTTAAATGATTATTTTTAAAAAAACAATGATTATTTTAAAAACAAACAAACAATGATTTTTAGAAGGGTATACAAATTTAACCATTTAGACATACAATAAAAATTATGTTGTAACCATAAAACATAATTTAAATATAAATAGGACTTAAATGTTTATGGCAATGCAAAATGATACATATACTAAAAAGAACCATACAAATAAAATTTGTTCAAATTTCTTTAGCTACTAAAATATATTTGTATTTGAATCTCTAATAAATTTTGATATTTTGATCTGAGTGTAATCATTGGGATATTAAAATTTTCTAAATAAGTACATAACTAACATGACAACTTACTTTAATTGGCATATTTTGATCAACTTCTTGCTTCAAGGACTGGTCAACGTACTTTGAAGTTGCACCAACGATAACCAGTCTGCCTTTTGGAGCAAGATTTTTAAACAGCAGGTCAAAAGTTTCACCGCCAATTGTCTCCCAAATAACGTTTAAACCATTCTAAAATTGAATATAGATTTAACATGGGCCTGTACTACAGCAATAAAAAATTATACAGGAAAATAAAATAAATTTCATAACAGATACTAAAAGGAAACTAATTAATAAAGTTTAATTTTTAGGAATTGTTTGCAACCAGATTGTTCTGATATGTCTAATCACTCTTGAAAACTCTAGAAAATATCTAATGAAATCGAGGTTCTTACCACAGCTATGAGGAAAAATTAAAAAAGAAAGATTCAGTGTGAGTCCGAACTCTCTGTAATACTAGATAAGTCGTGCTGAGAAATACAGGCTCTTTTATGACTAACAACAGAACACGACTGTTTAAAAGACAACTTACATTGCATAGGTGTATATAAGCATCCCTATTGTTGACTTTGGAATTTGAAAGAGCCAACAAACAGAAAATGCAAGACACTCCATGGAAATGACTACGAGATGCGGAATTTTTGAGGTGCGGACTTCAGTCTTTCATCTTCTTTTATGTTTTAATGTTTCATTGTATTTGCTCTCTCTTTTGAAGTATACCCCACCATTTTAAAAGTATAAGGGACATTTTATTAGATTAACTTTTCACAGAAGGGGAGAAATGGTTTTGTTAATCATTAATATCTTAATCATGAGTGAAGTGATTTTTATGTTTTTGAGCTCCAATAAATTGATTGTTTTGAAGCCGATGATTATGATTCTGTTAAAAACAAAATTTCCATGGTAACTCTCTTTGTGCAATACCAGTTTGCTTTGACTGACACTGTAGAACTTGTAGATGAGAAATTCTTGTTGGCAATAGGGCAGTAATTCATGGCAGAGCCAGTCAAATTCAAAGTATTAACCCACCGACAGTCCTGCATGTAAAAAGTCGTATTTTAACCTGCAGTCTTCTCTGCACAGCAAAACCGGTTTTCCCACGTTATTAGATAGTAAAGTAGTGTATTGGGGCGAAACATTTTCCCAATTTTGCCCATTTGCTAAATCGCCAGTGGGTTAATAAACACAAAAACAAATAATACAATTATATCAATTATCAGAGTAACACACATAAATATCTATGAAATACATCTATGCCTATAAATTATGTCACTGCATCTGAAAGGAAAATATAAATACTGTAGAGAACCATTTATCCGGTATCCAGATAACCGGGGAAAATTTTGCTCGGTTTTCCCGCCATTTTAAACTAGACCGATTATGAAAAAAAAAAGCGGAAATTGGACTCATCCCTGAAGTTGAGTAGAGGAAAATGTAAGGAAGGGGAGAATTTTTTTCCCCCGTTTACCCAGAGAAACGTAATTTCCTCCGTGACGTTGAAGGCAGAGAAGGGAGGAATGTTTTATTTTCTCCTTTAGACCGTCAATCAAACTCAAGGGTGTGGCATGCTGATTTCGTTTTCTGTTTAATTTACGATTATTTTCTGTATTTTATACACTCCTAAAAATAACAGTCAGCATCACTTTGGCATGTAGCATTAACTGATGAAATGATGATACACACATAATAATTCAAAACTACACTTACATACTCATAAAGTTTTTTTTATATCTTTCTATGAATTACTACTATATAATTTCTATATATATTTGAGAATGTTTTTTTTTTTAAAGTAAATATCTAGATTTATATTATTATGATGTACATAAATGATAATAAAACTCTTCTTTGGACATAAAATAAAAGTACTATTCAGAAAAAGGATAATATAATACTTCAAAGAGAACTGGTATTTAAATAGATAAAGAAAATATATATTACCTTATATTCTTTGCGTAATACTTCAGCTATTGATTCTTCTTTATAATTGATTGGGCGATCACATCCAATATTCTACGTAAAAAACATCATGTTTATAAGCAAATTACATCTTTTTCTTCAAATTATACCTTTAGTTTTAGCAAACTATTTATCCAAAGATAAAATATTTAAATTTATTGTACAATAAAATTCAGATGAAATTTTAAGGAAACAGACATTTATTGAAAAACGGAAAGCTGTTTCACAATTATAAACATAATCTTTACTGCTGTAAAGCAAGCATTCTTCAAAGTTTTTATTCATTTCTTCTACTAATTTTTGAGCAATATTGTTTTTATTTTAAACTATTATACTTTAACAGACACCACGATTGAATAGACGAATTGTTTTGGTCCCTACATAATACAAGTATACAATTAACTTCAATTAATAAATTTATCTGTTTTGAAACAAAAGATTTCAAATTATGTATTTTTCTCTACAACTTTTTGAATAATTTTTTTCTATAGAAATATAAAATTTTGTTAATTTAAGGTAATTTTTTAAATTCTTCATACCCTCACATCTATTTTAAAACTAAAAGTAATTACCTTTAAAAATTGTACTTTATTTTGAGAGGAACAAAGACCGACAACATGACAGCCAGCATTTTTAGCCCATTGAACCTAAAATACAAAAAGTCAAAACACGTGGTTTGTAAAACTGTATATATCAGAGGAAAATTATTTAGTTCTCATTTATAATTAAAAAAACAAAGTCAAGACCCTTAAAAATATTTATGAAGTATATATATATAGAGAGAGAGATATTTTAGAATGATTAAATTATAAAACGACGAAATTTTAGCACACTTACAATTGATAATGGTACTAGTCCTTTAGTAAAAATTATGTACAATGAACAAAATAAAAAATTAACCATTTGCTAACTTTTGTTCTTATAATCAGATTTTGCATTTGCAAACTAAACGGTTTGAGAGGATAACCTTAAATATTTAAATTACTTTGAGCAAATAATATTTTAAATTATGAAATCAGTCACAAAAACTTACTTTCTTTCAATAAACATGCCTTTATTATACATGGATACTGATTTTTGATTCTTCAAATATGGGGAAAACTACAATTTAGAAAATATGGTTTCAATAGTCTGAATAGAGTGATCGAATATTTGGTCCCCTTAAAGTTCATTTTACTTGACTTTAATTGCAAAAAAGAATTGTTTCCTAATTTATATATTAAAAAAAACTATTATTTTTCTACCACTTCCTTTATTGGACTATTGGATCAACATTTTTCCAGATAGCATCAACCCATAAAATTTGAGAGTAATAAAAATATACAAAAAATAAAAATAAATCTGTTGCTAAAAAAGTACTTTTACTCAGAATTTTTTTTTATACATGATTTCCTAATTTAGATTTTCAGCACAAATGACTTAGCATTTTTAAGGTTAGTCTTTTGAATCATTAAGATAACATTTTAGTACATAAAAGTCTGACCAATAAACAAAAAGTTATTGAGACACTCTGTTTTTTAATTTAAATACTTTACTTATTTCAGCTAGAAATTTAGTCATGAAATCTCAAAGTCGGGGGTAAAAAAACTATTAGTTAAAACAGGTATAAAATTATGACATTATTGAACGAAGCAAGGCTTCAGAGCTAGAGTAAATAGAATAAAAATAATTATGAGAAGCTACCTGAAAATGTCTAGATAAACATTGCATTAATCTCTGAATCAAATTCATAAATACACCAGTTTTTTTAGTAATAAAAAAAACATTAAGTGAGAAATAGGCTTAAATTAGCACATGCAGTGATGGCAACCTTCACTACAAGGTAATACTAGCAAGCTCACTTGTGATAGCTATAAATTAATTATTAAACATTTCAGGATCAATACAAACATGCAAAATGCATGTTTTAGTTATTTCACCGAGTTTTAAAAATATGAGAATTTTCTCAGAAAAATAATGTTGAAAGCTTATAAATTAATAATTCACGATATTTTTTTATTAGAATGCAGATTTAAACCTAAGGCAATCACCAAAATTATAACAGAAATTATTATCATTTTATTATGTATATCACTACATGCATACATTGGTAGTAAAAGTTTTTTGAAATTTAAAAATTTGATGACAAAAAAATTATATAATAGAAGGAAAAATTCAAACAGGCTCAGCACTTACATATTACTCTTAATCAAGCTTAATCATTGGTATTTACATAATATAAAATCTGAGAATATAACAATATAAACAAAATAAATGAAAAACTAAAAAAGAAAGTATTACAGCTATATGACCAGCACCTCCTGCAGCCGCAGTGATGAGTACTTTATCTCCAGGTATTATCTGTCCACACTGTAAATAAAAAACACATAATTATTGGTTTATAATCATAAATACTGATTTGTAGGATACAAAATTTAAACATACCAAGTATAAACACACAACTTTTAAGTTTATAACATTTTGAATTTTTTAAAAAAAAACCCTTTTGAAGCACAGAACTTTGTATTAAAATATAAAAGTATTATAACGACACAACCAAAGGACAAAACCAAGGTGATCTTTACTTAAAGAAAAATTCATGAAAATTATGTTAAGGCTTAAAAGATTTCAATATTTTGACATGTCCTGGTTTATAAAATACATGCCCAAATATCCTCCTTTTCAAAAATACATTTATCAAAATATATAAATGTACCAAAGTGAATTTAACTATTCATATAAAGAAACCTATTTCCATGCGATCCTTCTCACTTACCAGAAAGAAAAAACAAAATGTAAAAGGGAAATAAAAGTATTGAAGAAGAACTAATTTTGATGAAACTTTACAATAAAAAATGACATACTTTGGCATTGTTGAGATTTTTAAAGATTTGAACTATACGTTAAAAATTAAAATAAAGTAATTCAAATGATATCACTCTCAGTTTCATTTTTGCATTTAAATTTAAATTTTTATATACATTATTTTTCATATAATTGTTTTTCCAATAAAAATAAGACTGATTAATGAAAAAAAAAAGGTAGCTTTGCCTAATAAATTTTTATTTTGAATCAAAATTTGAGGGAGCTTCAATCTAATATACATTTTAGAGTATTTCTGATAAAATATTTACATGTACAGTCATGAATGTAAGAGCAAAAAATACATGAAATAAAAGGTCTAGAAAGCCAAGTTGAAATAGAACATTTGAACCCTGAGTCTTATTAAAATCTTCGAAATTCGAACAATAAGAAAAATCTTAAACCACATTTAGATGTTTAAGACAAATCTTTTTGCCTAATAAAAAATTTTAATTTTCATTAATCAATGGTATAATAAAATTAAAACTTAATAAGACAAAAAAAATATATATTAAAACTTTAATGTTTATAAGACAAAGGTGAACAAAAATATCAATAACATAGAAAATTTAAATAAACAAATATACTGTTTTTTAAAAGGCTAAACCAGATATAATTTATCAAAGGGCTAAATCAGATTTATTTTAAGTTAGGCATCTAATTAAAGTCAATTGTATTAGGAGACTTAACATAATCAAAGATATGTATGATAACAGCAAAGCATGTATAGAAGTAAATGGAGAATTAACTTAATTCTTTTTGGTAAAAACTGGCGTGAGACAGGGATGTATTTTATCAGGATTTTTATTTATACTGGTGATAGACTGGATTATGCGAAACAGCTTGAAAGATGAAAAAAGAGGAATAAGGTGGAATTTCACAACTACTTTAGAAGACCTTGATTTTGCTGATGACATCGTACTTATTTCATCCAAATGTACAGACCTTCAACTTAAAACAGACAAATTCAACAAATATTCAAATAGTGTGGGTTTATTCATGAACAAGAAGAAAACTAAAGTAATGAGAATAAATCAAAAGAAAAATGACAAAATTAAAATCGAAAATCA